TTACTTTCTTTGTCCATCAGTCGTCTTGTCTCCGACATACATGCCCTGCCCAATGCCATTTCTTCCTTTTGATGCTCCCGAGTATATCTTCCACTTTCGTCTGTTCTCTGATCCACGTCGCCCTCATCCGATCTCTTAGGCTAATTCCCAGCATCGATCTTTCCATCCCTCTCTGGGCACTTATTAGCTTTCTCTCCAGTAATTTGGTTATTGTCCATTGTAAATGCCAAGTTCTTTTAGTTTCATATAGATTTACTAATTTTGAGGATACAAGTAAACAAATCAAGAACCATTAATAAACAATTTATTCACAAAAATAATAATTCACGAAAAAAAATATTACAATTGCACATTATCAATCACAAAACAAAAAAAAACATCCCTTTCTTTTCCTTTATAATTATTCTGTCCACTCTCCACAATGTTCACTCTGATGAGGTGGAGTGGCCACGTGGTCTTGTGGTCTTGAATTCTTCTATTTTTCTAATGATAAATAAATAATATTTGAAAAGAAGCCTCCGTGCCTGGCCCTTGACACGAATAGGTTCTGCTGCCTGTGTCTGTTAAAGAATACACTTTTGTTTATGTATACTGCTTATACAATTTCACACATAAAAAAAATAAAATCCAAAAAGATGACGGGGAAAACACCTCACCTTAAGGCACTGGTCGGGTCGAGTGAGGACCCCCGTACTCAACCCGAAACCAAGGCTCCCGAGCGAACCTTGATTCGAACGAAGCACTTCGCTCGCCACGTATACAGGCGAGCGAAACAAATTAAGAAAAACAAAATAGCCGAATTTCTTCACATCCATGTTTCTGACCCATTGGTCATAACTGTGGAGGACGCATTGGTTAAAGACTTTTCTTTTTAAACACAATGGCAAGGAACATCTTAGTATGCTACTGTGCTTGCCGAAGGCACTCTAGCCTAGACTGATTCGTCGTTTTATTTCTTCTTCACTAGATGTGCTTGTCTGTACGAGTTGTCCTAGATATATATACTTGTCTACTACCTCTAGCGCTTCGCCTTGTACATGTATCTGTTCGAATGGGACTCTGCTGTTGAACATAACCTTAGTCTTTTTCTTGTTCATTTTAAGTCCGACTTTTAGACTTTCTAATTTCTTGAATATTTCCTCGAGGCAGGCTGTAAACAGCTTTGGTGAGATGGTGTCGCCTTGTCTAACGCCTTTTTTAATTGGGATTTTATCGGTTTCCGTGTGAAGCTTCATGGTTGCTGTCCCATCTTTGTATATATCTTCCAATATTTAACAATACACCTCCTCTACTCCCTGTTGTCGAATAGCACCTAATACTGCTGGTATTTGTACAGAGTCAAATGCCTTTTCATAATCGATGAATGCCATTCCCAGGGACTTCCTAAATTCGTTTATTTTTTCTCTTATTTGGGTGAGTGCGTGGATGTGATCTGTTGTTGTGAATCCACTGTGGAAGCCTGCCTTTTCTCTAGGCTGGTTAGAATCCAGACTGTCAGAGATGCGAGCTGTATTGACTTTCGTGAACAGTTTGTAAGGTACAACTTTAAGTACCGTGTTCGCTTCTATCTGTGGCTGTTCATTTGTTGTATAGATCCCTGTAAAAGTCTTCCACTACTCTTATGATTTCATTCTTGTTGTATGTTACTTCTCCGTCTGGTTTCTTAATTGCATACATTTGATTTCTCCCTATTCCTAGTCTTCTTTTAGGTGCTTTCATGCTGATACCTGAAATCACTGCTTCATTTGAGTATTGAATTTCCGTACACCTTCCCTCTTCTTTTTATTTATGGTCTTTGTTAGTTCAACTAATTCTATCTAGTCCCTGTTTGACGATACTTTCATGGCTCTACGTTTTTGCATAAGCCGTTTAGTTTCTACCGAGAGGCTGCTGGAGCTTTGCTTGTCGTTCTTGCCGCTTACTTCAAGTGCAGCTTCCTTTATTATGTCATTGAACTGTTTGTTAATTTGGTCGATGTTGAGATCTTCGTTGCGGAGAAGTGAATATCTGTTTTGGATGTTTAGGCTAAATTCTGTTGCTCTGATCTTCAAGTTAGCTAAGTTTGGCTGTGGTTTACACATTAGTTTGTTCTTTTCCCTTCTGAGGTGTATTTTAATTTCGCCTCTCACCATTTTATAGTCACTGCCAACATTTACTTTATTAATAACTTATACCTTTTTTATTATATCGCGCCTATTTGAAATTATGAAGTCAATTTCGTTTTTGACGGCAGAAGGCGACTTGCATGTCTACTTCCATTTTATTATTTTTTCGAAGAACGTATTCATGATGTATTCATGATATTGAGTGATCGAGCCTCCGCAAAGTCGACTAGCATTTGTCCCCTCTCGTTCCTAGTGCCTATTCCATGGTTCCCTACTGCGGTTTCTCCCTCTGTCTTTTACCTATTTTGGTATTAAAATCTGCCATAATTATTGTGAAATGGGTTTTTATTCCCTCGCTGTATATATATAATATATATAATATATATATATATATATATATATATATATATATATATATTATATATATATATATATATAAATGTGTGTCCGATCAAACCGCGTAGAGATCCGCAAGATCACGCGGAGAAAGGTGTGCCTTGGGCATATTTAAGACATTTTAAGACCTGCTACAGATAAAACTCCGTTTATTTAAGACTTTTTAATGCCTTAAATTTCCAAAAAAATATTTAAGACACTAAGACTTTTTAAGAATGCGTGGGACTCCTGAATATTATGCACCTTAGCTGGAGCCCCATTAGACTTTGAGACTCTAAGCTTCACCCTGCTAAGAGCATAGGTAAACCTGCCACTGTCTAACTCACACCTCAAGCTGAGGGGTTTCATTGATAATGATACTTAAGGATGACTTTAATAACAATATTCCGAGATCTCCTTACCATACAACATCGCTAGTATTTTTTTTTTTTTTTTATAATAGCAGTGACAATCCTTCAAAGGAATATGAGATATCACAACATACTTATAGAATTATACTGTTTAAATGGTATACGTGCGGCATTACGATATCAGTACGATAAATATCTCTTTTCTTCTGATGTGGTTTATTAACTGATCTGTGTTATTAGTGCATCGCCATAATATTGTACACATCCAAAATCTATTTTCCGATGTTAAAAAGGAATGACAGTATAAAATGAGCTCCACCTCAAATCATTTTTATGATTATTGCAATCAACATTTTATGTCTTTTTTATACATCCGTACTTATCAGAATTCTCATAACATTCGCATTTTCTACACTTTTATATTGTATTTTTGCCTTATGAACAGTATTTTCCAGAAGTTGAAGAGAGCGAGTTCTTTCCACACTCTTTCACTTACATTTACATAAGTAATTTTGTGATGTTCATTTATTGTTGTAATTTACGTCTTCATATGAAATCTCAACATGATATATGCATATATGAAATCAAGAGAGATTAATGCAAACAGTATTTACCAACTAAGCGAGAGAGAGAGAGAGAGAGAGAGAGAGAGAGAGAGAGAGAGAGAGAGAGAGAGAGAGAGAGAGAGAGAGAGAGAGAGAGAGAGAGAGAGAGAGAGGGAGGGAGGGAGGGAATGATACATATGACAGAAATGGTTATATACAAAGACATGAATACAAAACTACAAGTGACTGGATCTGGGAATTGCTAGGAAAGGTGAGCGGTAAAGAGCATTCGTTCTGATGTTTTATATGACGGTTGAGGTGAAAAGTAGATATTACTTCTTTTTATGAAACAGTACGGTGAGATATAAAGGACAGCATCTTATATTTGTAAGCTGAATTAGCAGATATTCCCCCTATTCATTGTACATTTATTATGGTCACCTTTTTACAAATATAAGCAGTTAATAACGTGAAATTCTTCGCTTCAGTCTCTATTTTTTAGAGCCCATGAGAAAAGTATATATTTTTTTCTGATTCTTTTCGGTCTTCAGTCAAATTTCAACAATGTTGGTTTATATGTCCGTGCCTGTCATTGGATTCCTAAATGATATGGAATGATATGCTATGCCTATTGCAAATGAAATATTTCGAGCTTCGTCTGCTGAGGAAATCTAGACATGTTCGAGAATTTACTTCAGTTTCCACTTCATATTGTAGCAATAAGCACACGCACACACACACATACACACACATATACGAGTATATATATATATATATATATATATATATATATATATATATATATATATATATATATATATATATATATATTATATATATATATATATATATATATATAAATTTATATATATCGACCTTGCAGTCAATATACATTTACACATCAATATGTATTTATGTAGACAATCATAGAGACTATTCTTATGTCAAAGCCTGTAACATATGCGTGGGTTAAACATTATCTATTGATATATGATAGAAATATGGGTAAATATCAATTATAACACACCTAGCTATTTCTTGGTTAAAAATGTTCATCCTGAGCCTTGAATTTTGATCCCTCGTTAATTTGAATTTGAAGATTGCACACATCAAATCATAGTATCGAATGGATAACTGGCGACTAAGGCCATTGAAAGGTACAAATTTTATTAATGCTATGTATATTTTTTTTCCTATCTTTCATACATAGATTATAGTTACAATATCAGCAGTTGTGCGTGAGCGTACGTGTGTGTGCTACGTGCGTGTTGGTATTGAAGAATACATATAAAAGAGAAGAACAGCTATTCCTGGTTTCTGAAACAAGTGTATACCCTAACGAAGCAGAATGTATATTCACCTCAAATATCAGAATTAGTTACGGTTACGTTATACTGTTCCATTATTACTACTACTGCTGCGGAAAGGTTCTTGAGAGTCACATAAGAAACTGGAAGTATTCATTTTTTTCTGATTTTACATTTCCCTACTGATGCGTGGGAGATTTAAAAAACAAATGCATGGTATATGTTGAGAAATAATACGATATTAAATATAAAACAGCATAAGCATTCTTTACTGCACACAATTCCCTAAGACCGACCATGCAGCGGGTGAACGGTAGTGATCACAACATTGTAGAAAAAAGTCAGATGTAAATGTAGAATATACTACAGGTTTCCGTGGGGCTGTGCTTCATGTTCAGGGTGATGTGAAGCGATGGTGTGGTAGCCTAGGTAGTGTTAAGTGCTTGCATGCTTTCTCGCTTTCAGCTCCAACCGCTGGCTAGTCTAGTGCAAAAAGGGGGGCATCTGTGCATAAGCAATCCCTACCGGTTCTTAGCATCTCCGTCGAGACTTCTGCAGTGCCTCTTCGTGGCCACCCATAGGAAATGGCCACATTGCGGTCCCAGGCCAAGCTGTGGGGGATCAAAGGGTGGCTCAGGGAAGTGGGCCTAGCCAGTCCTCCTCCTCCCAGATATTAACCCTTTAGCAATGAGATATATAAATGGAAATGCTGGGGAGAGGGGTGCTGCCCCTATTGCCCAGCAAAAAAGGCAGGCTGTGGGTCCCACTGGAAAGACGACTGCTGAGGAGCAGGATGTGAACAGGAGTAACGTCTCGCATGCTTTTATTTTTTCTTCATTTTTAAATGATATTTTCATAATACTGCTCCAAATAGTGTCAATGCATTACTAGGTTATACTGGTCAATAAATTAGAAGTAAAACTTGCCAAAAGGTTTAGTGCATTCTTAAAGGGAAAATCTTCTCAAATGTAAAGCATATCGGTTTCTTCATTCTGTTCTATAGAAAGATATGATATGATATCTGGCATATTTCATGAAACAAAACGTATTCTAAGTACTATGCCATGTTGTGTCAATGTCGTTTTTATCCAACATAGGAAACTCTTGAACGCAAAAGCTAACCACAGCTTGTTAAAGGAGAGGCAACGGTTTTACGAGAGCGTAGTTGACAATGATGGTATGACGTCCATGAAATCAAAGAGAACGAAAGGAGCATGTACTTATAAATAAGTTTCTATACTGTTGAGAGCATATACTTATGCATATGATATGTATATATATATATATATATATATATATATATATATATATATATATATATATATATATGTGTATATATGTTCATGTATGAATATGTATATCTGAGTGTGCGTATACACATATATGACTACAAACGCATATGTGTGTGACAAATATATAAATAGATACATGTACCATATATACATACATACATATATATATATATATATATATATATATATATATATATATATATATATATATATATATACAACGATGTATGTATGTATGTATCTATCTGAATATCTATACAGGACTCTATGCAAATGTGTAAATAGTATTCATATATAATGACATACATGCGTGTGTTTTTATATGGAAAATGTATTGACAGTTCAAATTTCTCTTCTCACATAGCATCAACTTCAACGCAAACAACCATTATCTCCTCGACCACAAATCAAAATGAAGCACAGACAAAATTAGTTCTCACTACCACAGAGGCCCCCAAATCAAATGAAACCGCCAACACTACTGAAACTGCAACAACCACTGCACCTCCTACTACCACTAAAACCCCCTCAACCACTAAAGCTGCTACAACCACTGTAGCTCCTACTACCACCGAGACCCCAACAACCACTGTAGCTTCTACCAAAGAGGCCCCAGCAACCACTGAAGGTGCCACAACCACTATAGCTCCTACTACCATAGAGCCTCCAACAACCACTGAAGGTGCCACAACCACTGTAGCTCCTACTACCACAGAGACTCCAACAACCACTGAAGCTGCCACAAACACTGAAGCTGCCACAACCACTAAGGCTCCAACAACCACTGAAGTTACCACAACCACTGTAGCTCCTATTATCATTAAGGCTCCAACAACCACTGAAACTGCCACAACCATTATAGCTCCTACTACCACTGAGGCTTCAACAACCATTGAAGGTGCCACAACCACAGTAGCTCCTACTACCACTGAGGCTCCAACAACCACTGAAGGTGCCACAACCACTGTAGCTCCTACTACCACTGAGGCTCCAACAACCACTGAAGGTGACAAACACAGCTCCCATTACCACAGAGGCTCCAACAACCACCGAAGGTGCCACAACCACTGTAGCTCCTACTAACACTAAGGCTCCAACAACCACTGAAGGTCCCACAACCACAGTAGCTCCTACTACCACTGAGGTTCCAACAACCACTAAAGGTTCCACATCCACAGTAGCTCCTACTACCACAGAGGCTCCAACAACCACTGAGGGTGCCACAACCACAGTAGCTCCTACTACCACTAAGGCTCCAACAACCACTGAAGGTCCCACAACCACAGTAGCTCCTACTACCACAGAGGTTCCAACAACCACTGAAGGTGCCACAACCACAGTAGCTTCTACTACCACAGAGGTTCCAACAACCACTGAAGGTGCCACAACCACAGTAGCTCCTACTACCACAGAGGCCCCAGCAACCACTGAAGGTGCCACAACCACAGTAGCTCCTACTACCACTGAGGCTCCAACAACCACTGAAGGTGCCACAACCACTGTAGCTCCTACTACCACTGAGGCTCCAACAACCACTGAAGGTGCCACAAACACAGTAGCTCCCATTACCACAGAGGCTCCAACAACCACTGAAGCTGACACAACCACAGTAGCTCCCATTACCACAGAGGCTCCAACAACCACCGAAGGTGCCACAACCACTGTAGCTCCTACTAACACTAAGGCTCCAACAACCACTGAAGGTCCCACAACCACAGTAGCTCCTACTACCACTGAGGTTCCAACAACCACTAAAGGTTCCACATCCACAGTAGCTCCTACTACCACAGAGGCTCCAACAACCACTGAGGGTGCCACAACCACAGTAGCTCCTACTACCACTAAGGCTCCAACAACCACTGAAGGTCCCACAACCACAGTAGCTCCTACTACCACAGAGGTTCCAACAACCACTGAAGGTGCCACAACCACAGTAGCTTCTACTACCACAGAGGTTCCAACAACCACTGAAGGTGCCACAACCACAGTAGCTCCTACTACCACAGAGGCCCCAGCAACCACTGAAGGTGCCACAACCACTATAGCTCCTACTACCATAGAGCCTCCAACAACCACTGAAGGTGCCACAACCACTGTAGCTCCTACTACCACAGAGACTCCAACAACCACTGAAGCTGCCACAACACTGAAGCTGCCACAACCACTAAGGCTCCAACAACCACTGAAGTTACCACAACCACTGTAGCTCCTATTATCATTAAGGCTCCAACAACCACTGAAACTGCCACAACCATTATAGCTCCTACTACCACTGAGGCTTCAACAACCATTGAAGGTGCCACAACCACAGTAGCTCCTACTACAACTGAGGCTCCAACAACCACTGAAGGTGCCACAACCACTGTAGCTCCTACTACCACTGAGGCTCCAACAACCACTGAAGGTGCCACAAACACAGTAGCTCCCATTACCACAGAGGCTCCAACAACCACTGAAGCTGACACAACCACAGTAGCTCCCATTACCACAGAGGCTCCAACAACCACCGAAGGTGCCACAACCACTGTAGCTCCTACTAACACTAAGGCTCCAACAACCACTGAAGGTCCCACAACCACAGTAGCTCCTACTACCACTGAGGTTCCAACAACCACTAAAGGTTCCACATCCACAGTAGCTCCTACTACCACTGAGGTTCCAACAACCACTGAGGGTGCCACAACCACAGTAGCTCCTACTACCACTAAGGCTCCAACAACCACTGAAGGTCCCACAACCACAGTAGCTCCTACTACCACAGAGGTTCCAACAACCACTGAAGGTGCCACAACCACAGTAGCTTCTACTACCACAGAGGTTCCAACAACCACTGAAGATGCCACAACCACAGTAGCTCCTACTACCACTGAGGTTCCAACAACCACTGAAGGTGCCACAACCACAGTAACTCCTACTACCACTGAGGTTCCAACAACCACTGAAGGTGCCACATCCACTATAAGGTTCCAACAACCACTGAAGTGCCACATCCACTGTAGCTACTACCACTGAGGTTCCAACAACCACTGAAGGTGCCACAACCACAGTAGCTCCTACTACCACTGAGGTTCCAACAACCACTGAAGGTGCCACATCCACTATAGCTCCTACTACCACTGAGGTTCCAACAACCACTGAAGGTGCCACATCCACTGTAGCTCTTACTACCACTGAGGTTCCAACAACCACTGAAGGTGCCACATCCACTATAGCTCTACTACCACTGAGGTTCCAACAACCACTGAAGGTGCCACATCCACTATAGCTCCTACTACCACTGAGGTTCCAACAACCACTGAAGGTGCCACATCCACTATAGCTCCTACTACCACTGAGGTTCCAACAACCACTGAAGGTGCCACATCCACTATAGCTCCTACTACCACTGAGGTTCAACAACCACTGAAGGTGCCACATCCACTATAGCTCCTACTACCACTGAGGTTCCAACAACCACTGAAGGTGCCACATCCACTATAGCTCCTACTACCACTGAGGTTCCAACAACCACTGAAGGTGCCACATCCACTGTAGCTCTTACTACCACTGAGGTTCCAACAACCACTGAAGGTGCCACATCCACTATAGCTCCTACTACCACTGAGGTTCCAACCACTGAAGGTGCCACATCCACTGTAGCTCCTACTACCACTGAGGTTCCAACAACCACTGAAGGTGCCACATCCACTATAGCTCCTACTACACTGAGGTTCCAACAACCACTGAAGGTGCCACATCCACGATAGCTCCTACTACACTGAAAACAACACTGAAGGTGCACATCCACTGTAGCTCCTACTACCACTGAGGTTCAACAACCACTGAAGGTGCCACATCCACTGTAGCTCCTACTACCACTGAGGTTCCAACAACCACTGAAGGTGCCACATCCACTATAGCTCCTACTACCACTGAGGTTCCAACAACCACTGAAGGTGCCACATCACTATAGCTCCTACTACCACTGAGTTCCAACAACACTGAAGGTGCCACATCCACAGCTCCTACTACACTGAGGCTCCAACAACTAGGTGCCACATCTGTAGCTCCACTACCACTGAACAACCACTGAAGTGCACTGTAGCTCCTACTACCACTGAGGTTCCAACAACCACTGAAGGTGCCACATCCACTATAGCTCCTACTACCACTGAGGTTCCAACAACCACTGAAGGTGCCACATCACATAGCTCCTACCACTGAGGCTGGTGCCACATCCACTATAGCTCCTACTACCACTGAGGTTCCAACAACCACTGAAGTGCCACATCACTATAGCTCCTACTACCACTGAGGTTCCAACAACCACTGAAGGTGCCACATCCACTATAGCTCCTACTACCACTGAAACAACCACTGAAGGTGCCACATCCACTATAGCTCCTACTACCACTGAGGTTCCAACAACCACTAAAGGTGCCACATCCACGATAGCTCCTACTATCACTGAGACTGAAGGTGCACATCCACTGTAGCTCCAACTACCACTGAGGTTCCAACAACCACTGAAGGTGCCACATCCACTATAGCTCCTACTACCACTGAGGTTCCAACAACCTCTGAAGGTGCCACATCCACTATAGCTCCTACTACCACTGAGGTTCCAACAACCACTGAAGGTGCCACATCCACTATAGCTCCTACTACCACTGAGGTTCCAACAACCACTGAAGGTGCCACATCCACTGTAGCTCCTACTACCACTGAGGTTCCAACAACCACTGAAGGTGCCACATCCACGATAGCTCCTACTATCACTGAGGCTCCAACAACTACTAAAGGTGCCACATCCACTGTAGCTCCAACTACCACTGAGGTTCCAACAACCACTGAAGGTGCCACACATCCACTGTAGCTCCTACTACCACTGAGGCTCCAACAACCACTGAAGGTGCCACATCCACTATAGCTCCTACTACCACTGAGGTTCCAACAACCACTGAAGGTGCCACATCAACTATAGCTCCTACTACCACTGAGTTCCAACAACCACTGAAGGTGCCACATCCACTATAGCTCCTACTACCACTGAGGTTCAACAACCACTGAAGGTGCCACCTCACTATAGCTCCTACTACCACTGAGGTTCCAACAACCACTGAAGGTGCCACATCCACTATAGCTCCTACTACCACTGAGGTTCCAACAACCACTGAAGGTGCCACATCCACTATAGCTCCTACTACCACTGAAGCTCGAACAACCACTGAAGGTGCCACATCCACTATAGCTCCTACTACCACTGAGGTTCCAACAACCACTGAAGGTGCCACATCATAGCTCCTACTACCACTGAGGTTCCAACAACCACTGAAGGTGCCACATCCACTATAGCTCTTACTACCACTGAGGCTCCAACAACCACTGAAGGTGCCACATCCACTATAGCTCCTACTACAACTGAGGTTCCAACAACCACTGAAGGTGCCACATCCACTATAGCTCCTACTACCACTGAGGTTCCAACAACCACTGAACGTGCCACATCCACTGTAGCTCCTACTACCACTGAGGTTCTAACAACCACTGAAGGTGCCACATCACTGTAGCTCCTACTACCACTGAGGTTCAACAACCACTGAAGGTGCCACATCCACTATAGCTCCTACTACCACTGAGGCTCCAACAACCACTGAAGGTGCCACATCCACTATAGCTCCTACTACCACTGAGGTTCCAACAAGCCACTGAAGGGGCCACATCCACTGTAGCTCCTACTACCACTGAGGTTCCAACAACCACTGAAGGTGCCACATCCACTATAACTCCTACTACCATTGAGGTTCCAACAACCACTGAAGGTGCCACATCCACTATAGCTCCTACTAACACTGACGCTCCAACAAACCACTGAAGATGCCACATCCACTATAGCTCCTACTACCACTGAGGTTCCAACAACCACTGAAGGTGCCACATCCACTATAGCTCCTACTACCACTGAGGTTCCAACAACCACTGAAGGTGCCACATCCACTATAGCTCCTACTACCACTGAGGTTCCAACAACCACTGAAGGTGCCACATCCACTATAGCTCCTACTACCACTGAGGTTCCAACAACCACTGAAGGTGCCTACTACCACTGAGGTTCCAACAACCACTGAAGGTGCCACATCCACTATAGCTCCTACTACCACTCAGGTTCCAACAACCACTGAAGGTGCCACATCCACTATAGCTTCTACTACCACTGAGGTTCCAACAACCACTGAAGGTGCCACATCCACTATAGCTCCTACTACCACTGACTCAACAACCACTGAAGGTGGCTCCTACTACCACTGAGGTTCCAACAACCACTGAAGGTGCCACATCCACTGTAGCTCTTACTACCACTGAGGTTCCAACAACCACTGAAGGTGCCACATCCACTATAGCTCCTACTACCACTGAGGTTCCAACAAACACTGAAGCCACATCCACTGTAGCTCTACTACCACTTCCAACAACCACTGAAGGTGCCACATCCACTATAGCTCCAACAACCACTGAAGGTGCCACATCCACTATAGCTCCTACTACCACTGAGGTTCCAACAACCACTGAAGGTGCCACATCCACTATAGCTCCTACTACCACTCAGGTTCCAACAACCACTGAAGGTGCCACATCCACTGTAGCTCCTACTACCACTGAGGTTCCAACAACCACTGTAGGTGCCACATCCACTATAGCTCCTACTACCACTGAGGTTCCAACAACCACTGAAGGTGCCACATCCACTATAGCTCTTACTACCACTGAGGCTCCAACAACCACTGAAGGTGCCACATCTACTATAGTCATACTACCACTGAGATTCCAACAACCACTGAAGGTGCCACCTCACTATAGCTCCTACTAACACTGAGGTTCCAACAACCACTGAAGGTGCCACATCCACTGTAGCTCTTACTACCACTGAGGTTCCAACAACCACTGAAGGTGCCACATCCACAATAGCTCCTACTACCACTGAGGCTCCAACAACCACTGAAGGTACCACATCCACTGTAGCTCCTACTAACACTGACGCTCCAACAACCACTGAAGGTGCCACATCCACTATAGCTCCTACTACCACTGAGGTTCCAACAACCACTGAAGGTGCCACATCCACTATAGCTCCTACTACCACTGAGTTCCAACAACCACTGAAGGTGCCACCTCAACTATAGCTCCTACTACCACTGAGGTTCCAACAACCACTGTAGGTGCCACATTCACTATAGCTCCTACTACCACTGAGGCTCCAACAACCACTGAAGGTGCCACATCCACAGTAGCTCTTACTAAGACTGAGGTTCCAACAACCACTGCCAAATCCACTATAGCTCCTACTACCAGTGAGGCTCCAACAACCACTGAAGGTGCCACATCCACTATAGCTCCTACTACCACTGAGGTTCAAACAACCACTGAAGGTGCCACATCCACTATAGCTCCTACTAACACTGAGGTTCCAACAACCACTAAAGGTGCCACAACCACTGTAGCTCTTACTACCACTGAGGTTCCAACAACCACTGAAGGTGCCACATCCACTATAGCTTACTACCACTGAGGCTCCAACAACCACTGAAGGTGCCACATCCACTATAGCTCCTACTACCACTGAGGTTCCAACAACCACTGAAGGTGCCACATCCACTATAGCTCCTACTACCACTGAGGTTCCAACAACCACTGAAGGTGCCACATCCATAGCTCCTACTACCACTGAGGTTCAACAACCACTGAAGGTGCCACATCCACTATAGCTCCTACTACCACTGAGTTCCAACAACCACTGAAGGTGCCACATAGCTCCTACTACCACTGAGGTTCCAACAACCACTGAAGGTGCCACATCCACTGTAGCTCCTACTACCACTGAGGTTCTAACAACCACTGAAGGTGCCACATCCACTGTAGCTCCTACTACCACTGAGGTTCCAACAACCACTGAAGGTGCCACATCCACTATAGCTCCTACTACCACTGAGGTTCCAACAACCACTGAAGGTGCCACATCCACTATAGCTCCTACTACCACTGAGGTTCAAACAACCACTGAAGGTGCCACATCCACTGTAGCTCCTACTAACACTGAGGTTCCAACAACCACTGAAGGTGCCACAACCACTGTAGCTCCTACTACCACTGGGGCTCCAACAACCACTGAAGGTGCCACATCCACTATAGCTCCTACTACCACTGAGGCTCCAACAACCACTGAAGGTGCCACATCCACTATAGCTCCTACTAACACTGAGGTTCCAACAACCACTGAAGGTGCCACAACCACTGTAGCTCTTACTACCACTGAGGTTCCAACAACCACTGAAGGTGCCACATCCACTATAGCTCCTACTACCACTGAGGCTCCAACAACCACTGAAGGTGCCACATCCACTATAGCTCCTACTACCACTGAGGCTCCAACAACCACTGAAGGTGCCACATCCACTGTAGCTCCTACTACCACTGAGGTTCAAACAACCACTGAAGGTGCCACATCCACTATAGCTCCTACTACCACTGAGGTTCTAACAACCACTGAAGGTGCCACATCCACTATAGCTCCTACTACCACTGAGGCCCTAACAACCACTGAAGGTGCCACATCCACTATAGCTCCTACTACCACTGAGGCTCCAACAACCACTGAAGGTGCCACATCACTATAGCTCTACTACCACTGAGGTTCCAACAACCACTGAAGGTGCCACATCCACTATAGCTCCTACTACCACTGAGGTTCTAACAACCACTGAACGTGCCACAACCACAGTAGCTCCTACTACCACTGAGGTTCCAACAACCTCTGAAGGTGCCACATCCACTATAGCTCCTACTACCACTGAGGTTCCAACAACCACTGAAGGTGCCACATCCACTATAGCTCTACTACCACTGAGGCTCCAACAACCACTGAAGTGCCACATCCACTATAGCTACTACCACTGAGTTCCAACAACCACTGAAGGTGCACATCCACTATAGCCCTACTACCACTGAGGTTCCAACAACCACTGAAGTNG